CTTGAAAGTTGCAAGTGATACATATGTATTGCAACAGTTTGTGGGATGATAGGTGTAGTGAAAACATGCTGAATTGAGTTGTGAGTTACTACTTCAGTGTTATTATTGTTCACTTGTTGCTATTTGGTTCGTTTTAAAGTTGGCAAAAGCACTACGATGCTCTCCCCCTCCCCCTCCCCCAAAAAATATTCGAGTTTGATTTAGGTTGCCGCTTTAAGGATTTGCTAAGTGATATGCCTCAAATATGTGTGATAAAATTAAAATAAGAATTTGAAAATAGCAAAGAAAGTAAAATTTCAAACGTATATAAACAAAATCAAATTATTTTAAAATATATATATTAAGGGTAGAATGGAAATTTTAGTTGATTCACATTCTGAAAATCAAAGAACAACATGGTTCATGATCAATCCATTCCAGATCTTAAAACAAACAACATTATTAGAACTGTGAATTCGTCAGTATTCGAATTTAATCCATTGGTACCCGAATTTGTTTCCAGCTGACAAAACAAACAGCTCCTAAATAACGCAACTTTCTTGTGTTTTTAGCCTAGTTCAACAATAACTTTAATCCCCCTCAAGTATTATAGTAAAAGCGAAAGCCTTCTAATAAGAGCACGGTTAAAAAGTTTCTTAAATTCAAGGAACATTAATCATACATATTACTAAAAGACATGTTTGCGTTGAATCGTTCAAATCAACAAATATCCTGGACCAAAATTGCTCATTTTAAATATGGTTCTTGGCCAATGAAATTGTATCTTGTTCCAAGCCTGTCAAAAACACACGAAATGTATGAGGAATAAAAGTGGAGGAATATAATAATGAATCTTTACAAGAACAAAATTTTCGGGTTTTACAAACAGGTAGATACTATGCCTTACTTGTGGTAAGATGGAGATTGCAAATGATGGCCATCACATTATTGAACAGTTTGTTTTCTAGAGGGAATCTATTTATCACATGAGACAGTGTCAAAATAAAATAGTGGAATGTGTGTTTGGTAAAGGTCAGTCAAAATCCAAAGAATTAAAAAAAAAAATTAAGCATAATCAGCCTTACCGATAATTTTGAATAAATTGGAGTTCTTCTCTATTTTGATGTGCAGAGCAGAAGTTCAATCATTGCAACATATTGCAAAAAAAAAAAAAAAAACTTCATCCAAAATTATTGTTCAATCGATGCAACATATTTTGATTTGAGGCTTTTCGGTAATCACCAAGGGTTAGTTTGATGCACTGCCCTTGGCCTTTCAGTTTTAATGAAATTAAACTAAGGGAATCCATGATTTAGAGATTCCAATGGCTACAATATTCATCTTAGAGGTATATTGATAACACTAAAATTAGACCCCTTTTTGGAGGCATTTTCTACTCATTTTTACTTAGAATTAGGTGTCAATTAGTTAGAATTAGTTTACTTTTAGGTCAATTTTGTATTTCAGGGTGATCAGAGGGTCAATGTGAAAAATCAGCATAAATTGAGGCCAAATTGCACAAAAGAGCATCAAAATGGACCAGATTTGGAAGCTGCTGAAAATCAAGGGTTGAAAGGAGCAATTGGAGCTTAACCAAAGGAGGAATCCTTGCTTATGAAGCAAAGATGGCTGCAACTTGATCCCAAGTTGCTGAATTATACAGCAGGAATCCAAGAAAGGAAGAAGGAGTTGCAGCCTCTCAGACACTACTGAGATGTTGCTGCTACTACTGCTGTCAATCAGGGAGAGCCAAGGCTGAAATCTTGCTGCCAAAGGAAGGATTAAGCACTACCATCACTGCAAATTGCTGTTTACCTCAAGTAGAAGAAGAGAAAGAGGGAAAATATGAAGAGAGAGGTGGCTGCAACTCTGCTACTTGCCACTTGCTGTTGCTGTTGATTGGAAGTGAAGGAATAGCTGCTGTAGGAGGAGAGAAATGGTGCTACAGATGATCCCAGGAGATAAGGAAGAATAGAACAGTATATTTAGGCTGAATTGGGGGCTGAAAAGGAAGAAATATAATGATGAAGGGAAGCATGTTGTTGAAGCTGTTGCTTGCTACTTCTGCTAAGAAGGGAAAGCAATGATGAGAGGGAGGTGGATGTAACGGCTGAAGAGAAGGAGCAGCCAAAGTGAAGGCAGCAACATGCCAATTGGGCAAGTTGCTGAATAAACAAACATTCAGCTGCTGCAAGTTGCCACATCAACTGTCTGCTGCAGAGAAGAAGGCCAAGATCTCAATCAATCCAAGCCTCCCCAAATCTCTATAAATAGTCAGCCAAGAACATTTAGGAAACAAGCAGATAGGGAAGTTAGAATCAAATCAAAAGCAGAGTAGTTAGTTAGTTAGTTGGATAGAAACAGAGTAATAGCTGCTGTTAGAGTGCAGACTGTCACTCGGGCAAATGACGAAGTACACTTTCCCAAGTGAGCAGATAGAATCTGCCCGACTACTAGTCTCTTATCCTCTAACCTTTTGCTCTATATCATGTTTAATCTGTTGTACTCAGTTGCTCTCATATTTAGTTCAATAAACATGAGTAGCTAAACTAAGTTAAGGGTCTAATCCCTACTATCTATATGTGAAGGTTTTGATTTAGTTTCTTAGATGAAGTATTGTTCCTAGTTTAAGTGTTTTAATTAACTTTTTAGTTAGACTGATCAACTAGCTGATAGTGCATGCATAATTATGGAATCCTGAGAGGGTGAACATGGTTTTAGAATGGCTTAAACTAGTCTATGACAAAGGAGATAGCTTGACTGCAACCCTTTGGTTTCAATAATCAATGAGAGTTAGTTGATTGACATAGGTGATCAATGAGGGTTAAGAAGTTAATGGCTTGGAATAATGAATAATTATCACTAAGAGTTAGGTAATTTGGTTAATCTGGGGCTCTTTAGTGGTAACGAAGGGGAAGGTAAATAATATAAGTACCTGATCAAATAATAAATCATGTGCAACAAGAACTGAAAAGAATCAAAATTGGATCATATAGATAGGAAGGTGATGATCCTTCTGTTTTCTCACTCTCCCAAGTGACAATCTGTTCAACTTATTTTCTTTTACTTGCACATTAATTAAATTTTAAGTGGTTCACTGCCGTCTCTGTAGATCGACCCTACTTACTGCTAACTCATATTTTTAAATAAGTATTTATTTCTTTTGGAGGTATCAACGACCGTCTACCATATACTCTGTAAGTGTGTTGTGTTCCTCTACATATAGCTTTGTCGGTCTCTCTTTATTTTTTCTTTAAAAAAAAATCTCTCGAGCTCGTATTGAAATTTCTTTACATCCCTTGCATTAAAACTATCAATATAACCATCTGATTAGGTTCATTGATCCTTGAAACTGGCCCTCCAACACTGGTTGTCCCTTGTGCCCTAAGAGTTTTCTGTCGAAAATTAAGTTACTCCATATGCACATAAGAAATCACCATGGAAACATGTTAACCGTCGAAACATATATTCTCTTGCAGACATTGGTGCATTACTAACCACCTCGTTGAGTGCCCACAACATTTTATCACAAAACTATTATATGTCCTTTTTATTTCAGTATTGAATTACTCCATGAATTGGTGGATGATTGTTACACCGTGAAAGAGTGCTCTTCACTATGGTGATGATGGTTGGCCAAGATTAACTCTACATTAGCTAACTTTTTCTCAAAATCTGCCACAAACTTGTAAGTAATAGACTTGTCCCTACGAATAATTTTCAATGTTATGCTCTCTTGCTACATGGCGTAATCACCGTCCCCAAACTTTGCTAGATTGGTAAATTCTCGTGGTATTGCCATAGTAATAATCATATGGAATTGTGGTTCAAGGAAAGCTATCATAAAAGTATGCTGTGAAAACATATTTAAGACACATATATGTGCTCTCCAAATGCATTTTAGTGTTTTGGAGAAGAAATGTTGAGACTACATCTATAATAAATGGTAGATAACATATTTTGTTGTTCAAATAAGTTTTTCAAAAGTAGTCTCAAAATTCCAAAATCTAAAAAATATCAAAACTCATTTCATATCTATCTATATATATACTATACTAAGGCAAAAACCAGATAGAGAAAACTAAAGGCATAGAGCACATGTTAAATCCTATGTGGCATTTTCTTAATTTCTTAGACTTAAAAATGCACAAAACAAAATAATAAAACCAAAAAAAAGCAACTAAAATAATTTTTTTAAAAAAACAAAATAATAAAAACTAAACCCTTATTTTCATGAACCAAATCTAGGATTTAATCCTATGTGGCATTTTCTTAATTTCTTAGACTTAAAAATGCACAAAATAAAAAATAAAACCAAAAAAAAAAGCAACTAAAATAATTTTTTTTAAAAAAGAAAAATAATAAAAACCAAACCCTTATTTTCATGAATCAAATCCCAACACAGAGATTGATTGGAGAGAGTACCAAATCCTAACCCAAAAAAAAAGCAACTAAAATAATTTTAAAAAAAGCAAAATAATAAAAACCAAACCCTTATTTTCATGAACCAAATCCTAACACAGAAATTGATTGGAGAGAGTACCAAATCCTAACAAATTTTAGAGAGATCTGCATAAACCTTATCACCAGTGAATTTAAAATCTCATTTAAAAAAAAAATTCCTATAAATCCAGAGGTAATAATGTTTAAAACTGAAGTCATTACATATTTTATAAAAATACAAAATTTATGTAAAAATGTCTAAATGTGTATCCCTTCCCCGTCCATCGGACGGGTCTAACACCTAGTATGTTGTTATTTCAAAGAAAATAAATCAAAAGTACAGAAATTTTAGAATTTTTAAAAGACAAAACTCACTTTTAATTATGACTAATTTTTAAGCTAATTACACGCTGAGTCAATTAGCAAGTCAATTTTATCATTTAAAGACAATAGTACCATACTTCCTCTCTCTCTCTCTGGAAAAGAAAACCTCTGACTTCTCTCGTAGAATAGAAGGTTTCAGTCAGTAAAAAAAGAGGAAAAGCTCATGTCCAAAATGGACGAGGACATGGATGAAAATGCTCAAAGGGGATCCACGGAAGAAAACCCTGCAACAAAGAAAGTCAAGAACAAAAAAAAATGGGGAAGAAGAAACACCAGAAGTCTTCACATTTAAATCTGCTATCCTGAATTCGGTGCCAACCGGAAAGAAAAGAATACCGGCGAAGGAACCAGTGAAGGTTAATGATGATGAGGTGATCCATGAAATGGAATTGGGTTCGTAGCCTTCCTAGATCCGGTTCAGAAAAGGGTGAAAGATTCAATGGGGTTCACAGTAATTGTTAGCCCACTTGGAACAGAGGTAAGGTATGATGCCCTCTTGAATAGACTGAAAACGATATGGAAACCAATGGGCGAAATTGAATTGACAGATTAAGTTAGCCATTATCTAGTCAGATTGAGTAGTCCCTGGACAGAAAAAATTCAGGCATCAACAGATAATTTATCAGCAGTAGCAGCTTAGATAAGAATCCCAGAACTTCCTGTGCAATATTTTCATGAGGATTTACTTCATATAGCAAAATCAATTGGGAAATTTATCAAGGCTAACCGGAGTACATTGACAGCAGAGCGTGGTAAGTATGCCAGAATTGCTTTACTATTGGATTTAACAGAGCCTCTAAAGGGCATGGTAGGAGTTGATGCGGTGATGTACAAGGTGGAATATGAGGACCTCCCGACGTTTTGCTTCTCCTGCGGCAAGTATGGAAATGTGGCAGAGGTGTGTACCATGTTTCCATCGACAAAGGCAACGAAGACAACATCAAATGGGAATGGCGGCAATACCGTGCCTAGCTCGTCACTGGAGGCAACACCGGAGACAACATCGGAGGCGAGTACCATGCCTAGCTCGTCGGGAACTAAGCCAACTCACGCGCAAAAACCACGTGGGGTGGGTAGGCTATTGACAGAAAGAAACCAGCTAACGAATCGAGGACAACTATTTGGAACGCGTGCTCACCTTTGGACGGAACTAACGAGGAGCAAGAAATAGCACAAGTAAATAAAGGTTAACAAAAAGGCATAATGGAGCCCAAGAAATTTGAGATGGATTCAGGACCAACTAAAGGTCAAGCCCTAACCAGTTGGAAGTGGTGACAAGAGGAAAAATTATCTGAGAGACTCCCAACATGGGTACCAAAAAGGGTGATTGCTAATAAAAAAATAGAAGCCTTACCAAACCAACAGAAAATAAAAGGCAATGCTTAGACCAGCAATATGATGAGTGTCAATCTATGCATGTCTTTAGACATATAATTTGCCTCTTTGTACTTAGGTTTCAGGTCAATTAAATTAGGATTTTATATTTATATGTTAATTTGGTGACTTTTGGTGATCCATGGACTTAACTACAAAATTTGTAAAAAAGTGGTCAAAATGTGGCATATTGGTGAAGTTCTGGGCGCAATTGAAAATGGCTTATTAGACTAAAGTGCAAGGTCAGAGTTGATGTTAAATCCGGCGGGAATTGATGCTGCTGAAGGCCAAATTCGAGCAAACCTTCAAGGCTAAGCAAGGAGGACAAGTGGATGAAGTGATGTGCTGACAAGGTAGGAGGTTGATGTGTCTTAAAGCTGTATTAGAGCAACCAAATCCCATCTAAGGATGATTAGAGATAAATGGGGAAGGTGAAGAAGTATGGGTCTCCTCTCTTTTGCTTAAACCCATCGATAAAATAAGAGATCAACTCGGCTAAGAAAGATTACTCCCCCAACCTCTATATAAACTAGTAGCAGCAGAAGAAGAAGGCAACAAGAATTAGGATAGTAGAAGTTAGAGTTAGCTTAGTTCCAGTTAGGAAGAAAACAAAGCATAAGTCTGGAAAGCAGACTCAGGGGTGTCTCTTAGGGAAGTGAGAAGCTGACTCTGCGAAGTCAGCTACACTTTACCATACTCCCTGAATTTGTTCTTCCCCTATTTTCAATCCATTCTGTTGTAATCATGGAGAAACTTCTATATTTTGATTTCTTTGTGTTTAAGCTTTCCAGCATGTGTAGCTAAACTTATTTCTAGGGGTCTAATCCCTCTACTCTATATAAGTATGTTTGATTTAGCTCTTGGATGATATTTGTATGTGTAATCTTAGAGTTTTCATTATTCTTTTAGTTGAATTGGCCATAACTAATTTTGCTTGTATGTTAGGGGAATCCCGATAGGGTAAACTTAACTTAGAACATCTAAAATAAACCGGTGACAGGGGGGTAACAATCCAAGATTTCAAACAATAACGAGAGTTAGTTGTTTGGTACGAGGCAATCATAAGGGCTTAGCTACTTAATGGCTTAATAGTATTCTGGAGTCAACAACGAGAGTTAGTGGGCTTGTTGCTACTTAGACTGCTGTTTGGAAAATCAAGACTGACCTTACAGTGTTAGTGTGCCTAATTAAACACAGTTTCATACCACAAAGAGAACAATTAAATCAAAGCGTATGCATATAGAGTAAAAAGTAGGACGACCCTAGGCTTCTATCACTTTTTTCAAGACATAAACTCGCTTAAATCTTAATTTTGTTCATACATTGCATAACTTGCACTGGATCCCAATTTTCATCGATATTTTCCGTCTCTATGGGATTGACCCTTCTTATCACTTTCTACAAGTTTAAATAGGTTTATTTTGGTGGTCTCGACACCCATCATAATGCAAAATACCAACGAAGACCAAAACAACATAGGAGCCCACGATAATGGAAATCAAACCGAGTTAGAGCCTACGCATGTAGTGGTAGTCAACCCTCACCCCAGCCAATCCAACAGCCCGAGTTTAGTGGAAATAATTTCCCAACACAGCAACGAGATGCCAAAACAGACACCGGAAAGGTAAAGGTTTAAACCCCCTTATTTACATAGGGCGGTGAAAGTTAAGGCTAAACTAAAGATTAAAGATCTTAATCTAATGGGTGGTCAACAAACTAGAATTTATAGTGACATGATGGGAGAACTTCCTGAGTACAACGACGACAATGCGATGGATGAAAATCCCCCAGAAATTGGTGATGAACGTGAATCAGACTTGGACGACAGCGGAGCGTCCATGGACGACAGGTAAGTCTTCTAATCCTATAAAATAAATATTTTTAATGGAGTACAAAATAATAAGGTGAAAATGTCGTGGAGCGGAAAATAAAAAAAAACAATTGATTTTGTAAAATCCTTAATGTATCATGCATCTATAACTATTATACTAGAACCTAAAACAAGTGGAACTGATATAGTAGACATAATTAAGGATATTGGTATGAAAAATACACATAGGGTCAAAGCGGTGAGATTTTCTGGTGGCATCTAGCTGCTTTGGAATGACCCCGTTATTGTACAAATTATTTACAGTGATTGGCAGTTTATCCACTGCAAAATTACTTTCCATGATAATATCAGTACTTGTCTTATGGCTGTGTATGGGAGCCTCCAACCTATTTTTAGGCGAAAACTTTGGGAGAAATTACATACTTTGGCTGATGAGGTGTGTGAGTCATGGATAGTCATAGGAGATTTTAGTTCTTTTACGGAGAAGGAAGACAAATTGGAGGTAGAAGCTCAACTGGCTGTAAGAATTTTGGAGAATGATTGAGATGAATGACATGAGAAACTTGGGGTTTACGGATAATAGATTCACTTGGTCGAACAGAATGTGTGGCGAAAGGCTGGACAGGGTTTTGATTAACAGTTGTTCGGATCAATAGATCGGAAACACAACTGTTACTCATCTTCCAAAAGTATATTCTAAGCATTCCCCTCTCCTAATTCGAGCAAACCTAAACAAGGCCAGCTTTTACGCCCAAAAATTTTCAGATATCTTGCAACCTGGGAAGCTCATGACCAATGGGATGATTGGCTTAGGACATTGTGGAATTCTGAAGTAGGACTCTACGAGGCGCAAAAAATGTTAGTATCCAATATTGACAGTTGGAAGTATAATGTGTTTGGCAATATACTTAAAAAGAAAAAGAATCTTCTGGCTAGATTGGGAGGAATCTAGAGAGCATTGGCAAGGTTTTATTCTAAAAATCTTACAAATTTAGAGCACGAGCTTATAGAGGAGTTTGAGAAAATAATTTCGCATGAGGAATTGTTGAGGATCCAGAATGCTAGAGTTGTATGGATTACTCAACGAAACACAAATTCTAGAGTATTTCATGTAGCTCATAAACCCAAGAGATGCAAGAAACGTTTGAAAACTTTGCAATTAGAGGACAGAACATGGTGCTTGGAACCATCAGTCCTATGGGATCAAGCAACTAAGTTCTTTAAGAACTTATATGCTGGGAATTCAGGTCCAGTGGGTGAGTACGTTATTAAAGGGGAGTTCCCAAGACTAAAACCAAGACAAATGGCAAGGATGGAAAGGCCAGTGGAAGAAGAGGAGATACGCAAACCGGTGTTTGACATGGGACCTTTCAAATCAGCTGGAATCGATGGATTCAATTTTTATCAACATAACTGGGAGGCGGTAGGTCGATCAGTTTATGACATGGTTTGAAAAGTCTTTAAAATAGAACAAGTGGAGGAAAACTTGAATAAGGCGGTAATTGTACTGATCCAAAAAGTGTCCCAACTAGAGAGATTTCAACACTTGAGACCAATAGGTCTAATCAATGTGGGGATTAAGATCACGACTAAGATAATTGTAGATAGGCTTCAACAGGTTATGAAACACCTTATTTTGTCGACACAATCCAGTTTTATCAAAGGGTGAAGTATTGTGGATAATATCGTAAGAACTAAAGAGGTGATCCATTCTATATGAAATATGAAAGGGAAACAGGGATAGGTAGCAATCTAGGTTGACCTCGTTAAAGCCTACGATCGGATATGTTGGCAGTTTGTGCATGAGACTTCTTTTTAGAAGGTGGCATACCGCCACATGCTCTAGCACTGCTTCCTAAGAGCAGCGTGTCTACCAATTTCACCATGGCGGCTTGTCTTGAACATATAATAGTATATCACTAAAAAATCGCCGAGATTGAATATTTGTTTCCATTGATGAATCAGAATAAAAATTCAGTCAAAGAATAATTTGAGGGTTTGTTATTTAATTGAAGGGCTTGAATTTTTTTTTTATATATTTTCTTTTATACTTGAGTTATTGGAACTATAAAGTTAAACTGGTAATCAAGAGATAGAATTCAAAAACTGTACTTTATAAACAACAATGAACATAAATAAACTACAGGATGCAAAAATTCCAGACACGCTGTGTAATATCATTATGAGTATCTAGCGCACTGGCTCAACACAAGTATCGTGGCAAGGGCAAGTAGGAGATGAATTCAAACCAAACAAAGGGGTTAGACAAGGAGATCCAATATCCCCCTATCTATTTGTGTTGTGTTTGGAGAGATTGAGTCAAACCATAAACAAGGCGGTGTTGGAAACCCTTTTCACTAGGGCAAGGTAGGGTTAAATTATCGCATTTGTTTTTTGCTGACGATTTGATCTTGTTTATGTAGGCTTCTCTAGAGCAAATGCAGGTGGTAAAACAAATATTAGGAGATTTTTGCCAATTCTCGGGCCAAGCAATCAGCAGAGACAAGACTGTTATGTATTGCTCTCCAAATATTGAACATGAGAGAGCAAAGAGCCTAAGTGATCAGATGGGTGTTCAGCTAGTGGGAGATTTGGGGAAGTATTTAGGAGTCCCCATCATACATGCAAGAGTCTTGAAATCAACCTTTCAAGAGGTTGTGGCTAAAGTCAAATGTAGGGCTGAGCGATGGCAACCAAAGAAAATAGCATTTGCTGGAAGGCTAGTTTTATGCCAGTTAACACTAGCAGCTATACCTAATTATATTATGCAATCTACAACACTCACTAAAGGAATAATAGACGAAATTGACAAAATAAGGAGGAAATTTCGGTGGGGCTCATTTCAATAGGGGAGAAAGATGAGCTTGGTTGGATGGGATGCGGTTTGTCAACCCAAGAATTGAGGAGGATTAGGCTTAAGGAAACTAAGAGATACAAATGTCACTTTCTTGCTTAAGATGGTTTGGGGCATAACTTTAAATAGTAAAAGCCTCTGGTATAAAGTCTTGAAAGCCAAATATGGATGGAAAGGAGTTGATATATACCAACATATTACAACAACTAAGGTGTCCTATTTGTGGAAACATATGACATCAGTCTGGAACGTAGGAATCAGTGGGATTAGATGGAGCCTAGGAGACGGGACCATCATCCGTTTCTGGAAAGACTTGTGGTTAGATATAGATACTCCTCTGATCAACATCATAAGCTCTGAAATCCCAGCTGATGATGCGAACCGGAGTGTGGCCAGTTATAGAAATGAAGATGGGAGATGGAAATGGGATGAATTTATGCACCTGATCGCTGACGATATTTGCCGTCAAATTGCCGCACTGCCAACACTAGAAAATAGTTTGGGATGAGATAGACCAACATAGAAGCATGCCCCTTCTGGAAAATTCTCTGCATCCACAGCTTATCATGCAATTTGCTCAAGGAATCGGAATCGGGAGGAAAGAAATGGCAGCTTGTTTGGAAATGGAAGGGCCCAGAAAAAAATTAAAATCTTCCTATGGTTGTTGATGAGAAATGTACTACATTCCAATGTGGAGAGATTATATGTTAAACCATCCCAAGAATTTTGGGATGAAGTAGATCTACAGAGCTGGGTATGCACTAATCTAAGCTCTATTGTTTGTATGCAGGAGCAGATAGAATGGAAGCTCTGTGATGTAAAAATCAGTATGCCGTTAAGGATCATTCCACGTAATGATGATCACTACATTATTATGGTTTTACATAACTTGAATATCACCAAAATAGTTTATTTGGCAAGCGATGACATCAACGACGATAGGAGATTGAAACCAAAGTTAGGCGTGCTAAAATCAAGTCGGCGAAGCAACACGATTGCCATGTTGAATTCTTGTCGACCTCAAATGCCAGCCAACAATCAAGCCGTCAGTAAAGCGTCGAATACGTCTTCAAGAAAAACAAAGCCAACAACAATGTTGACAGGACTGCATCGACATGTTCGTCGAGACAAAACATCCGACAACAAAGTCAACGACATAATTTTCATTTTTTGGAAATTTGTTGTTTTAATTTGAATTTGTTTTTAATTAATTTCCTTTTAGATATGTTTGGCCAAAACATATTAAAATAGGTACTTTTGGTCTTTTAATAAATATTAAATAATTGTGACATGTGCAATTATTTAATTAGGAGATATTTTCCTTTTTAGGAAACTTCTAGTCCACGAAATCCTAATTAGAGTTCTAATAGGATTTGTACTCTATTTGTCCAACCTATAGCCCTATAAAAGGGGGTCTTAGCCGTGATTTTTAGTATGTACTTTGATAAATTTGTTCAATTTGAACTTGAGAGGAAACTTCTTGTTTCTTTGACCTTTTGAGGTTATTTGGCTTTTTGCAAGATCTAATATTTTGCTTCAGGTAGCGAACGTACATCTAAGAGTAGTGTTCTTGTTTATGAAGTTCTTTAGGTTCATTGTAAGGGAGCACATCTATCCATCGTTGTCATAATCTTTAGGTGGGCTTTCTCTATTTTTGGTTCTAAAGCTCATATACGAATCCTCGTTTGGAGTCCACCACCGAGAGGATACACTGCAGAAAACACATATGGCACTGTCAAACCTAATAAAAAACAAACAATAACTGGCGGAGTGATACGTGACCACGAAGGACGCTGGCTTGGAGGTTTTATGCAAAATATTGAAATTTGTACACCAGTGGTGGCTGAATTGTGGGGCGCTTAACAAGGACTGATCTTTGCAATGAACTTTGGATATATAAAAATTCAGCTACAATTGGACTGCAAAGAAGTGGTAGATTTGTTAAATAAAAAAAGTGACGAGTACTGGGACTCTAGTCTTTTGCGCAAAGTTAGACCTATTTTAGAATTGGTAGGTCCAAATTACTCATGTTCATAGAGAAAGTAATACTCTAGCAAGCAGATGCCTCAGTCAAAATGGGTTATTCGATCCCAATAGGACTTCTTCTTTTGTCTATTCCCCCTACAGAAGTAGAGGAGACGGTGGATGTAGATAGGAGATGTATCACTAGATGGTGATCTTTTGTGCTCAACCGTGAAATCGCTTCATTAATATTTTAAATTGCACTCTAAGTCACGCCAAAGAATTAATAAGCAGTTTTATCAATCATTAAGAATTTATACAACAATTGGTGTTCTTTGTAAGGTAAAACAATAAATTAATAGAATATTATACTAAAACATAATAATTTTTCCCTAAGTTTGTGATAAAATTTAAATACTGCCGCAAATTTTTAATGGACATTAAGAAAAATAAAAGACCCTGAACTTTGATTTTTTTTTTCTTTTTTCGTTATTTTTTTCCATCCTTTTTCTATGATCTATTATTCTAGTGCTTTTTTATTTACGGTGTACCTCAAAACAGGTCATTGAACTATTACTTAATTCTAATATAGGTCACCAATCAAATTTATTTATATAACAGCTCACCATACTAAGAAAAAAGTTCATCCGAGATCATTCTGTTAATTTTGGCCGTTAAATATTGAAGGAAATCCATTTTTCGCATGCTTTTGGTTTAGGGATATTTTTGTCATTTTATTATTCTTTAATTTTTAATCTTTAAAAAAAAAAATTTTTTTAAATTCTTCTTCTTATACTTTCTAACTTGTATATACTAGTAGTATAATTTCTAAATTTCAAAAATTATTTTACCTTTTGTATTTTAACTTTTAGATTATTAAATTTTTTAAAAAAATTTTAGAAATAAAGAAGAAAAATTCGAGTTAAATTAAACATGAAAATTAATAATTTACCATTTTAAACTAAAAGAAAAGCTAAAAGAATTAGATAGGACAAGTTGTTTCTTCTAGGTTATTTAATTTTTTTAACTCGATTGAATTATTTAATTATTAATTTTCACGTTAACTTCAATTTGAATTTTATATATTTTTTCTTATTCCATTTTTTTAATAATCTAGAAGTTAAGATACAAATGACAAATTAAATTGAGTTGAATTTAACGTGAATATGAATAATTAAATAATTCAATTGAGTTGAAAAAAAAAACCTAGAAGAAACAACTTTTCATAGCTAATTCTTTTAGTTTTTATTTTAGTCTAACCGTAAACTATTACTTTTCATGTTTACTTTAACTCGAATTTTTCTTCTTCATTTCTAATTTTTTTATAAAAATTTATAATTTAGAAGTTAAAATACAAAATGTAAATTAATTTTTAAAATTAAGAAATTATACCACCAGTATATACAAGTTAGGAAGTATAAGAAGAAGAATTTTAAAAAATAAAATAAAATAAAAAGATTAAAAAATAAAAAAATAATACTAAAATGACAAAAATACCCCTAACCCAAAAGCATGTGATAAATGGATTTTTGTCACTATTTGACGGCCAAAATTAATAGAATGATTTCGGATGAATTTTTTGCATAGTATGGTGACCTGTTATACAAATAAATTTGATTGATGACATGTATTAGAATTACCTAATAGTTTAATGACACGTTTTTCGTATTTTCTTTTAGTTTTTTAATTCTCCTTTCCACCTTTTTTAATAAGATCAAACAAATTTGTAGCTTATTAAATGAAAACAAATGAAGTTGTTATACTTGAAATTTGTATGAATTCGATATTATTGTCACGAACTCAACAAACAAGCCTCCGAATCCAATGATATTGTGATCCATCCCTTTAATTTAAATCATGTTAATATCGGTCATTTTCTTCTTGTATTATCAGTTTATGTCCTGATTTGTACCAATAAACTGTTGGTCCATGATTTGAATTTGATCTTTTTCAATCCAAAATCACCTCTCCGACCTGAATTCACATTGACATCTTTTTACTATTTTTGGTTCAGTGTGTGATTGGAGTTGGAGGAAAAAGGGATGTTCAGAATGGCGATGAGTAATCTTCTTTTCTGTTACTATTATTTGTTATTCTTTTTTGCACTTTATTTTACTTTTTTTTATTAAAAAAATGTATTTACATGGTTTCTTATTTTTATTTTATTGAAATAATTATTGAGAACAGTACATTTTAGCTTAGCTCAAATTATATAGTATTGTTCAAACAATAGATCATAACTTGATTAAAATTTTTAAGTTTGGTACAACAGAACTTCATTGTAAAATCCAAAATTGGTGTGTGTCAAATTCACCAAAAATAAATACTAGTTAGATTATAATTTCTGTAGATAATGGAAGCTAGGTCGATCCCACGAGGACAGCTAAATCACCTAATTTGTTATTAAAAGACTACAGTCAGACAAGATGTCACTCAGGGGAATGAAAACGTTCACTGAGGGGAGTACAGACCAGGGGTATTCATCTCCTCTTCCTGTTGCAGCAGTTATATAAAAGACTACCAGCCAGACAAGGTGTCACTCGAGGGAATGAAAACGTTCACTCAGGGGAGTACAGACCAGGGGTATTCATCTCCTCTTCCTGTTGCAGAAGTTGTAATTGCACTTTAATGGTTAAGTTATTCTTCATTCAGCTCAGTTCCCATTTTCCCTAGTGTCATCTTTGTAACTTTAACAATCTATTTCTAATGATTGAGTCCAGTTATAAAATCATTCAGATCTCAGACTTATATGAATGCTCATGTCAACTAAGTATATTTCAATCTTAGTTAAAACCATAGATTGTTACCTCTATGTCACAAGTTGAAGTTGAAATAATCCAAACCAAGTTTATCCTTCCAGATTTCCCTTAGTTCTAGCATGCATTCAATTAGAGATCAAGTAACTGAATGTAGAAATACTTTCAACTTCAAAACATAGAACAAAACCAATGCATTACAGCAACTACAACATAGGTCGAGGAGATTAACCCCTGGAAACTATTTAGCTACTCATACTGGTTGATGCTACTGCTACTACTTCAACAGACATCATAGAAGTATGCATCAATGAAATGAAATACAAGCTAACAGTTAAGAGAAGAAGACAGCTTATTCAATTCAAGGTGTCACTCCTGGGAGTGACAGAGTTCACTCAGGAGAGTGAACCAGTGACTGGGTTGACAGTCCTTCAACTCTGCCTTCTGCTAAGTTACTGTTGTTCTTTCTTGCTCTTGCCTTCCTTCTGGAGTTTCTCTTTGTGCTCTAGTCGACTGAGAGAGCAAAGATGGATTGATTTCCTGGAAGTGCAGCTCCCTTCTTTTTATAGAGCCTTGTTCCGGTTCCTCTCCCTAGAGAGTTATCCCATACTTGTGTAATTTTTTATTTCCCCAATGCTTTGTGTCTTGGACTCCAAATTGATTGGCCTCTTGCTCATTCTTCCAGCAATGGTATCAGCAGCAGCATTGCTCAATGTGGGTGGCTAGTTCTCCATTCAAGGGGACAAGCATGCTCTTTAATTTCTAGTGTGGGATACCTTTTGTCAACCCCTAATGTATCTTGTGTTTTGGGGTTGTTCTTTTACCAGCTCAGCCCATGCTCCTCAATTCTGAAATCAGCAGCCCAATTATTGCTCCATAAGCCCCCAATTTTCATCAATTGTTTACTCAGGTCCATCCCTTCACAAAAATATAAAACTTACTAAGTAATATGAAATAATTCTAAGAAGCACCCCCCAAATTTTTACCTAATTAGAGAGTAAATTGTATTGTTTTTATATAACAATTTAACTGTTATCAACTCCCCTACACTGGAAAAATTGCTTGTCCTCAAGCAAAACAACTAGACTCTTACGGATGCTTCAAAAATCACACATGAGAATCAGGGAAATCAACACTGTCAAATTGACTCAATACTGACTAACTTCCCTAAGTGAAGATGCTCACTGAGGCAAGTGACACTGCACAAAGAAACACAATATAAATTCACATATGCCAAGGGCTGTCACCCTTTTGTCTCAGAGTCAAGTGAGAAAACATACACGTAAGGACATCACATTCTTCTGCAATCCATAATCAAACAGCCAACCTTCACATGAAATTCGGAATACAGGCCACAAGTGCTAGTTTATGCCGATCCTACCAACCCATTCTAAGTTAACCGGTTAAGCTCTTGGTGGTCATTCTTGTGATCTGGTCTTGCTTAAGTTACTTCAACTCGAATTACCTAGTGAGGCCTCAACCCTGGACTTCCTTCACAGCCTTTCTATCTTTCTTTTCTATTTTTTTTTTTTGTATGTAGCCCAACCTACACCTTTGGGAGGGGTGTTGTTTATCCTTATCTCTCCACTGCCTTATATCTCCCCTTATTGCTCCAAACAGCTTAGGACTGTGGTGATCCCTTACTGTTAACCCCTAAGGTTTCGGTTGATCAGACTTTTTTTTATATAGAACAAACAAGCTGTGATTGGTTACCAAAAAAGAAGTCTCAGGTTTACAGTGTTTTCTCGTTTACTTATAGCCTTAAACTAGACACTGATCTCAATAATGGATTACTCATGCCAAATTTTAGAAATTATGTTCTAGGCAGTCACTTCCACGAGTGACATGGTTCATGTGTGTGAGTGAAGTGTCAGCCATTCTTTCATTTCATGCATCAGACTCCACATCCAAAGTGTTTTAGCAAAATTTTTCAAAACCATTATCATCTTAGACTGTTGACAGCTCCTTTTAGAAAAAAATTTCATTTATTTTGAAAGCAGAAGCAGTTTTACAGACTCGATCTTAGACATTAAAATACTTAAACCTAAAGCACCTAACTGACACTATTCCTGACCCAAACTACTCCCCCAAACTTATTAAAAGCATTGCCCTCAATGCTTACAACAATCAGAGCAAAGCAAAAAA